CAAATAAAGAAAGTAGATGTTTTCTCAAAGACTCGACATGAAGATGTATGGAGTCATTCGGGAACATGCAGAACAGGACAAATTGTTAGTGGTCCAATTACAGCAGGAAAATCATTTGATTTTAAGCTTCGTTTAAGAATTCCTGTTAGAAGATTCCTTCCATTAGAAGCTATTCGATTTATTCCAGCTTTTGCAGGAAACATTCAGCTTAAAGTAAAGTTCAGTAGCGACGCCTTACAATGCACATCTATATCTGTAAATGATATCATTGCTTTCAATCCAACTCTTAAAGTTGCATTTGCTTCAGATTCAAATCCACCGACAAATAAATTTGTTCCATGGAATGAACCATTCACTATGATAACGAAGGCAGTAGAAGCTAGTGGAACAGTTACTATTACAACTGTAACCCAGCAACTATTTCGAACAAAGATGGATTTTAATGAATGTTTCATTCATCCAAAGTCATTCTCTTTAGACCCTAACATTTATACAGAACTTGTAGAACATTATACAAACGAGGCTTTATGTTTTCCTGTTAAAGTTATGGATTGGATTCCTATGGACGGTTCATTCTCAAAGAATACAGATAGTTCAAGTGCAACATTTACAGCAGCTTATACGCCTATTAATGTTAAAAGTATTTGGGCACTATTTAGAAAGAAAGACAACTATTATGTTAATTTTGAGAACCCTAAGTTTAAATATCTTCAGCTTTCCATGGGAGCTTATGGAAATATGCCTGCAGAACCTGAAAAATCATATGGACCTGTATTTTATGAAATGGTTGCGAACGCTTGCAATACAAACAATGATATGATAGGATTTAATGAAGATGTTATGAGGTCATTGGTGGATGATGGTAGTGTGGAACATAAATGGGATAGCTATGACAACACACATTTCTTATGTGGTTTTCCAACAGAAGTGGACTTTTGCTTCCAGCAAGGTCAAACATCTACTGCTCCAATAACATACAAATTGTCTGTTAAAGGACCTATTGAACTAGCAACTGAAAATGTACCAAAGCCACTTATTGGATTTATGAGGGATTGTTGCTTTGCCATTCAGGTGCGTGCTAATGGCATCCCCATAATAAGATTAGATGACTATAACTTAGCTACGGACGACGGTGAGGAATAAAGGATGAACGTTTATTTTTAAAGCTTATAAATGAGTTCTTCATCAAGCTCTCGTGAACCTTCACCATCTATGAAACAAACTTTACCAAACGATTATGGAGCACCTATTGAATATTTCTTACGAGCTGCACAATGGCAAAGAGCAGTCTCACCAAGGTTAGGTGTTCCACCAGCTCCTGTCAAAAATAGCATTTGGTCAAGTCCTTATATAAAATATGGTCTCCCACTAGGTTTGCTAGCTACAGCAGGAGCAGTTATGATGTTGAAAAGAAATAAAGCAAATGTTGTAAATAATACTGAAGTAGCTGAAGTTAAACAAACTCCAACACCTTCGCCAAAACCAACGCCTTCACAAACAACACCTTCAATGACTCCTGAACCTATGGAAGTACAAACTCCTGTTCAAAAGTCAACTCCTAAACCGACTCCAACATTTAAACCAGAACCTACTCCTCAAATAAATCGTAAAACTCCTGCGTTTCCTTACTGAAAAAATAACGTTATTTTTTATTTAATATTAAAATTTTTATTTGATTGAAATGACAAATAAAGTCACTGAAGCAATGAAACAAAAGTTTTTGGTAGAATACATTAAATCAGGAACTATTCCAGAAGGTTTTTACATTCATACTATGAAGGATGGTAGAGTTCAGTTTAGAAAGATAAAGCAACCATTAGATAAAGAAGGAATTTTGAGAAAGATTAAACTTCATGAGGACAACATTGCTGAACTTAAGAAGAAGTTAGAAGAGTTGGAGAAAGGAAGAGAGTTATAAAGCAATGAATTCAACAGGGTGAAAAAAGAGGTGAAAAAACAGGTGAGATCTCACCACTTCACCTAAATTTATTTTTGTGCTATGTTTTCATACGTGTGAGGGTGGTGATATCATTTATTTTTAAGTTTATTTTTTATTTTATTTTTATTTTATTTTTATTTTATTTTTATTTTATTTTTATATAAATGACGAAAACTATTGAGATAACAAACTACAACGGTCATGAGTTCAAGAATTTGTTCTTCGTTCCTCGTGAAAATACATTCTATCAGATACGAGGGAGAAAAGGTAAAGTTAGTTTGAGCGTTTATGAAGGAATGAAGAATGGAAAGTTTATACAAGCATACGATACAAACGGTAAACGTGTTTCATTAGCTTTGTCAAAACTTACTAACATTTATTTTGACAGTGATTTTGACCTATATGAAGAAGAAAGTGAGTCAGAAGATTATGAACTATTGTGTGAAGCACAGCAATGGGAAGAGTTGCAATACTTTTGTAAGTGAGAACGTTTATTTTTACAGTAGTGAGGTGAGGTGGTTGGCGGCTTTGTAAATATTTAAGGTTAAGTTAGTGTTGTCGTTTGTGTTGTAAAATATACGTTAACGGTTTTGTAAAGTGTCAAATTCACAAGTATTGGGTAAGGTGGAACGCAGTGCCACCGTACACTTGATATGTTTACTAACTGCTTCGATTTGAGTGAACCAGATCCGTATAAATTCTGGAAAGCATTAGTCAACAACCAGAAATGGAAAGAGCTAGCACGTATTGCAGTGAAATTATTATCGGCTGCAGCAACGGAAGCAGCTGTTGAAAGGTTATTCTCTTATCAGAAGCATCATTTTGATTCCCTTAGTTGCCGTGCATCAGAAGCATTGGTCAAAGCGAAAATGATTTTCTTGTACATTTACAATTCAAAACGACGCCGTAATCAAAAGAAATCTAAGTAAATATTCATTTTATTACTAATACTTCTTTTTTACTACCTTGAATAACTTAATTTTTTGTAAAAATTGATATAATTCTGTAATATGGAAGGTTTAATTTGTAATTTCATTAAACAATCGAGTTTTATTTTGTTGAATTTGCTCCGATGATATTATCATGAATTTTGCTATAGAATAAAATGATCTTAAACCGAATTGGAAATTGCACTAATGGATGTGGGTTCGGTAACCCGGCGGTCAATGTGCAATTCTAACGGTCTGAAAAAGATTGGATAGCGAGATATAACGCCCCAGCCGTAAATGGGTTCGGTTTTCCTCTCAAAGTTCTCAAAAAATTGAGTTAACCCACGGTTAGAAAAGTGGGTTTCCAAAAATATTGCCGCGTAGCGGAGAATTTTTGATTTCTTTGTTTAATAAAATATAGAAAGAGTACTCAAAATACATATGTTTTTCTCGTTAAACTCTATATTTTTCTTGAATTTTTCCTCTCAAAAATTAAAAATTGAGATAAAAATAAGGAAAAAACTACATTTTATATCGTTCATTTCCCCGTGCTGGGTTCTCGCTTAAGGGGCCGGGTTCTCTCAATTTCTGTATCGTTCCCCGCTTTTTGCAACCTTACATCTCCCTCATGAATTGTAACACCAAACACGAACATAAAATGTTGAATTTCCTTCCAATAAATATAGACAAGAAAAAGCACGTTTTTACTCTATCGTCATGATGGGAACGATTATTTCCTTTTATGAAAATTTTATATTTCATAATTTGTAAATTCTATATAATTGATCGCTATAATAAATTGCAGAAATTTTGAGAAAAATAGGCCCCGCTGATTGTGAGATATCAGAAATTTCTGATAATTGGAATTGGATCGCACACTTCCAGGGATATGTATTTTCTACATTATTATCAAATCAAATACTGTCTCAATGATGGAAATTTTTTGAGAAGATTATTGATTTTATAATATTTAGGATTTTTAAATAAATCCAAAAAAAGTATTATATTCCTAAAATTTTTGTTGATTTAATTTTCAAAACTATACCATCCTTTTGAGAACCTCAGATCCTACACAAAAACCACGGAGTGAATTCTATGAGACCCACAATTTTTGAAAGGGATTTCAAATAATTGAGAGCATTGCTACACCCCATAGGCCTATTTTGGCTAGTATAACATTGCCAACGATTCATTTTGCCCTAATGGACTGTATTAAACATATTTCTTTCATTTTCTTGAAAAATTGGTAAAAAATTAAATTTTTAATCAAATTAACGCCAAGGTTAAGGGAATATTATCGGCTTTTGCTATAGTACGTTATTCGAACGCTATTAGTAATATTTGGAGCATAAAAAAAAATAATATTTTTTTATGCCATTCAAAGCCTGATATGGCAGGATCTGTAATGTAATAGTTTATATTGTCATTTTGGCTTGTAACAAACCAAAATTCCAAATATAAATTATTAATTTTTTTTTGATTTAGGTTTTTTTGAAAGAGACCATAAACTTATGCATGTACTATCATAAAATAACAATAGAACGTAGATCGTCTTTCTCAAGAAGATTCGTGAGAAGAAGATCTACTTAATCTCCTCTATTTATATGATAAATCTGCATGGTATCACTTAAATTAGTTGGAGAACCAAGCGGATAATACCGCAATAAAGGATTTCAGTGCAGATTTGAGCTATTCCCGCATGTAATGGTGAACGTTTACTTTTTCACAAATCTAAACGGTCTCGCATATGCAAATTCATCAATTGTTGATGAAATATAAACTAATGTTCGGTATAGATACTAAATATCATAGTCTTACTATTTTTCAGCATTCCAAATCCTATGAGTATATCTCTCAATTTTTGTGAAGCTCTCAAATCTTTCTAAGAAAATTTGACTTTTTGATAGAACTCTCTCAATGGACTCCGTGGTTTTTGTGTAGACTCTGAGGTTCGTGAAAGGATGGTACATAGAAAACTTCATCTGAATTCAGATAAAAAGGAATATATATTTACAATCTTATGCCAATCATTTTTCATAAATATTCATAATTTATATCAATTGAGAGTTGTTCTCAATTAGCGGGAATTTTCTATGGAAGAATTTTGAGAAGGAAAAACTCATTATTCTACAATGATATCTGATGATATGTGCTCTTCTCCAAAGTGTCATCCAAAGTGCAAGTTCACAAAGGAGGATGATATGAGGCTTTGCTCCATTATATCTCAATGCTCTGAGTTAAATTGGAAACTTATATCTGAAAAAATGGGTGATAGAAATCCACGCCAATGTAAGGAAAGATGGGAAAACTACTTAAATCCAAATATTAACAGAAGTCCATTTTCTGTCGCAGAAGATATTCTTCTTCTTGAAAAATATCAAGAATTTGGTGCTAAATGGGTTGTTATTTCCAAATACTTCAATAATAGATCTGATATCAGTATAAAATCCAGATATATGGTTTTGAAAAGAAGAGGAGTAACACTTGAATTTCTTAGAACTCATAATGTTAGCTTTTTAGCTACAGGAACAAGCAAAAAGGCAAAATTGTCACCACAGTCCAGTCCAATTTATGTCCAGACACCTCCAATAACTAATTATGAAATGGCCTATCAACAACAAATCAATACAGCTCCATCCCCAGCACCAATGGAGTACCCTTCAGCTACAGTATTTGAGGACAACTCAAACTCTAAAGTTGATGACTTAATCGACTGGTCCGTCGCTTCCGATATTTTCGAGTCATTCGAACTTGCTTTTTAGATCGTAAGTTCCCATGTTTGTATGTAATAAAATTAGAGATTTTTAAAAAGTTTTTGAATTATTTTTACCTTGCCATAATCTGGCTTCTTTACCGTTAAATTTTTAAAACTATTTGACAATTAGCCGAACACATTGATGCATATCTCGGCTAAGCAATTAATGCTCTGATGTTTTTTATCTTATTTTGCAAAGGCTTACTTATAATCTTGTTAATTCTATTGCTGCTTTGGCATTGCTAGCATTATAAGAATTTATATGGCATCCTGTTTTATTTTCATTTTGATTTTATTCATAAACCATTTTCATTATTACTTACATATATTTTTTTTTCATATAGTTATTGATATCAATATGAAATATTCCTTGGGAAAATTTGCATATGGGATCATAAGATGTATAATAAAAAACATTTTCATAAAATAATAATGAATATCTCATAAGCAAATATACATACACAGGCAATGCCTTTCGCAATTGACAGGAAACACATTGCGTAAAACAAAAGGTATATTGAATATAGGAAATTAAATTTGATATTTAAATCATAACATGACGATTAATTCATAAAAATTATGGAGTCTATTGATTCTATTATTCGGAAATCTGCTGTCTTGATCTTCGTGGAACTACCTTTTAATACACTTATTAACAATCTCAGAGTTGTTGGAAGTTGTGCCTTACAGGCGTATATGCACCCTTAAAATAACTCTCAATTTAAAAAAGTGACAGTAATGAATTCTTCTTCTCCTTTTGATTCTTTTGGAAATTTTGAGATTGGAACACATAATGGGGAAAAAGTTATCATACACTATCAATATGACTCACTTGCAGTTTACTATTTAGAAACACTTGAATTAGTTTCGAAAGTAACTTTCCAATTCCCAGTTGTTTCACTATTTGTATCAAATAACCCTAAAGAAGAAGCACTTAATTTTGTTATTATAACAGAAGATCAGCAAGCACACTCTATTTTTTTAGATAACGCTGAATTTAAAGTTCATTCTTCAACGAATATTCACGAAAACATCATGTCTCATCACACAATGCTTACTGATAAATTCGATTACAACTACATTTTGTTTGAAAGCGGTAAAATGGTTAAATTATCAAAAAAGAGCCCTGTTCAATATCAGATTGAGTGGCCTATCAAAAATGGAAAGATAGTACGTTTAGAGCGATGCCATCCATTCGAAGATCAATATTTAATTGAAAAAAATTCTTCAGCATTTATTGCATTAATTAAAACGGAAAAAGAGTATTTAGTCGCTACATACATATATAATTTCACCACAGAAGAACTTATGCAAGGACCCTATACCGCAAACATTTCTTGTTTTTCCAGATATTTAAATTCCAAAATCTTTTTCCAAAATGGAAAGATATTTGGATTCAATCCATTCCGCGAAATCGCCGAAATACCCGATGTTACATGCGCTTCTCAAGCTTGGAATACCGAAAAAACAATAATCTTTACACCTGAAGGAATTGGATATTCAGTTACAGCAGATTCATTCACAGAAGTACTTAGATTGTCGAATCCACCATTACGTGTCGAATCCACCGGCGATTTTCTGATTTATCTTACATCAAGTGGAGATTTGATCCTAAATGGCACAGAACACAAAGTTCATATTGTTGCACCTATCAGGCTAAGTGAATACAAGTCAATTCTCATCCAATGCGATGAAGATAGCATCAAAACATTTCCAACGATTTCAATGCCATCAATTCCCACAATTCAGACCAAATACGAAGGTAAAAAAGTCACAGGATACAATGGTGCAACATGGGAATGTACAAACAACATTGTTGCCTTTGCAGGCTGTAATTCAGAAAATTCAGAATTTGTCATTGCTGCATCAGTCAAAACTGTTTACATTCTTAAAGTTCCTAGTGATTCCAAGGCAATACAACTCATAAAAGAGGAAACAATGACATCTCCAATTATTGATGTCGCAATTTCGCCAATACACTACGCGATATCAACCATTAAACAAGGAGTACATGTTACATCATACGTAGGTGACCCGTTCAACCTCACATTCCACACAGGACAATGTCTTTGTCTTTCCCTCTCAAAAACGACGGTTGCCAGCGGTTTTGACGATGGCAGTTTTATTTTAGCATCATTAGAAGAAAGAGGCCCAATTGTAAACATGAAACCATTCAACACACCCGTGAAAAAAGTGACACACATTACAGACGACTCAGTTTTAGTTCAATGGGATCTTGCTTGTGCTGTTGTTAGTCGTGACAAGTTCCAATGGTGTTCATTACCAAAATTCAATGGTGCGCAGATCTCTGCTTTCGCCGCCGACCTTCTTGCATTAGGAGGACCTGGAGGAATGTCCATATACAATTTCCCATCAAAGAAATTAGTTGCTGTTATTCCTAAGCGACTTATTGGCATCTGTTCATCATCTGTTTGTTTTTCCACTTTGTCTTCTTTGGGAATTCGATTCTTCGCGTTGACAGCTGATAACGAGTTGATTGTTTTGTACTCGCATAGGGAAATAGATGTCGACCATCAATCTCTAATCGACGCAGATGACGCAAGAGCTATTTGTGCAGTAGATGAAAGCGCTTACGTTATATGTAACAAATGCGTCGCAATATTTGATATGAGAGGAAACAGAATTGACACCGTTGATTTCCCTGCTCCTCCAAGATTTTTCGAAGCAAGTTCAAGAGGTTTTTACGTTTGTTTCGCAAGAATGATTTGGTACATTTCAAGGGATATGAGCATGAAGAAGATCCCATTTGATAAATCTAACATTGTTTGTTTCTGTGCAATTGATGATGACAAGTTCTGCATTGCAACTTCAACAAGAGTTTTGACATGTTCTGCAATGGGAACTAAAATTGTTTTCCAGACATTGACTAAGGTTGATAAGAGGATTATATCAATGAAAGCTCTTTCTTCTTCACAGATAAGTGTTCCCGATACTCTTGCAATTGTGTTTGAAGATTCTAGTACCGCGATATATCAAATTCCACAACAATAATATAATTTTTTAAATAAAATATTATGTTTGATTGCTCTTATTTCATTTTTTAATTAAAATACTATGATTGTTTATATTTTACATGGCATTTGCTGGCAAATGCCATGTAGAGTTATCTCAAATGTTTTATGGTAATTACACTGGGAACCCCTGGAAAATAATAGAAATGAGTATGATCATACTCATTGCGTTGCAAATAACAGACCTATCGTTTTTTAAGTTATGTTTCAAATTTAGAGCTCTATTGTTTTTTTTTCTTAGTTTTAGGAAATTTAATGCATATATTCATTGTTTTTATATGATTTTATAGTATTTAAAATGCATCAGTTAGTTACTTAATGAAAAAACATAAAATTCATAAAATAAATTAAGTAAAGTTTAATGACAGCAGATCTTATCAGATTTGTATTAACCTAGTTATGCTAATTTTATTATCATTCTTCAATGAAAATCTAAACTTATGAAGATTATTACCTATTGTCTTTTTTTGTAAACTATTCAAACCTATCACTTAATTTCATTTTCTTAGAATGCTGTCTTGCCTTTTTTCATATTCATATTCTGAATGTCCGGAAGGTGATTCATATGAATTTTCAAGTGGCACAACGTCAATCGAAAGTAAAATATTTTATTTATGTTCTAATCTCAAAAGTGTAATAATTCCTGATAGTGTTACATTAGTTGGAGTATCAGTCACTTGAAGGTGATTTTCTTAAAAATGCCAAATCATGCGAGGAAGTTATCACATCTGTAAATTATACTGAGGATCAAATTGGTGGAAAGACAATCACTCATAAAATTGGACCAGAAACTCCTGATGAACAGCCAGAAAATCCTAATAACCAACCAGAAAATTCTGATAATCTACCAGATAACAAAGAAAATCCTAATGATCAAAAAGAAGATAGTGACAATAAAAAAGGAAATAACAAGACAGGCATTATTGTGGGAGTGACTGTTGCTTTACTTGTTATTGTAGCTATTGGAGTTATTTGTTTCATTGTTTACAAGAGAAAATTTGCACATAAAGATGATGATGATTCGAATAACGATGAAGAGAAAAACAATGCTAGATCAGAAATTTCATAAATTAGTAAGACAAACTTTGCTCCTCCTACAATCTGATCATCTAATTTATTGATCAAATTTAAAAAAAAATATTTTATTAATATATGCTCACATAACATTATCTTAAGAACAAACATATAATTGAAACAGATTTGCAACTTTGTTGTAAATCCAATATACTAATCAATGTTAAAATATGGCTAAAAAAAGCCTAGTTCAAAATAATTTAGTTAATTAATACATTTTTGGGTTTATTAATAAACTCGTTTAAAAGTTTCACAACAAAGGACTTGGAAACCAGTTTATAACAATCAAAATTTTTATATTGATATTATTCTTTGTTGATTATAATACTAGAGATTGAATGGTTATTACTAAAATCATTGGTTTCATTGTCATAATGTAATAACCATTATGTTTGAAAATTTACGTATTTTTCATATTTTTTTTTGACATCCAAACTTTCTAAGGCAAAAAGAGGATGTTTTTGGTCGGGAAAAAGTTATTATAAATCATTATATAGTGTATAATAAAGATATATATTGATTTTGCTAGTGTTAAAAATCATCCAAATCAGAAACTCTAGATAAAGTATTAAATATTGCTCTAAATGAGTTCTTTTGCAGATTAAGTTGAGTTGCTAAAGATATTTTTGGAGAATCAACATAAATTTCGTCGTCATCATCAATAGAATCTTGAGACAAAAGGTTGAGAACGTAGCTTTTTTCATTCTTTTGTTTCTTAGGTGAAATTTCCTTCTTTAAAAGTCTTCTAGGAGGTAAAATCGTTGGACGTGCATCCTGTTGAGGATAATCCAAGTAATCCTTTGGCCTAGTTGGTCTTGTCATGTCAACAAATCGACAGCAGCTACCAGTAATTTCATCTTTGCTAAAACTATCAGCTGGTTCTCCGCATTGATGCAAATACATACAGTCTGGATTAGTACATGGTTGGCCTCTTAAAAAGGCAGAGCAGTACTTAGTTGTTCCAAATGAAGCTTTCATTGCACTTCCATCAAGCGAAAATGATTCAAGAGAGTAAATACATTCAAGAGCGTCTTCACAATTTCTAAATGTTACATATGCACTGACAGACTGTGTCTGATTTCCTGAAGAATGAACATGAGAAGCATTCACAACTATCTTTTTAATAGGACCGTATTGGCCGAAGTATTCATATTTGAGAAGTGTATCTTCGTTAGCATATTGTATAGGCAGCCCAACAACGTAAACTAAGTCTCTTTGGATAACTCTAACGTCAACAAGGTGTGATGATGTGGAAGGCATTTCTATTTTAGGCGTATCTTTCTGTGGAGATGAAGTATCAGAATTTTGAAGGCATTTTGGACACAATTTATTCGACAAATCATTTTTATTTTTATTACAATTGGAACATATGCAAGAATGACACTGTCGACATTTCAAATATCCTTCATTTGAGCCTATTTGCTTACCACATTGCGCACAAGTAATAATATTCATTTTTTCATAAATCCTGAAAAGTGACAATTTTTGAATGATTTCTGAATTTCTAAAATCTATTTAAAAATGATGTATCTATAAATCTGTATATTTAAATAAAAATTGAATGCTCGATATCGTAAGAAAAATGCTGAATCCTCCGAAAATCTTTTCCAGCATGGGAAACAGCACTTTTTCAGATGTAACCATAAATACCAAGACTAAAAAACTTAGCGGAGTTTATAATATCGATCTTGTAGGACCTTTTCTTGTTTTTTATAAAAATCAACCACGAAATTGCACATTTTTACTTCATGGAATGCTATATCAAATCAATGATTATGATGCACATAAGTCCACATTAGTTATGGCTTCAATAGACAAGCTAAATCAATATATTTTCAATTTCGAATTCAAACACTCAAAAGATTTCGAGAGATTCAAAGAAAAATTCCTAGACATATTTAATTCATATATACGTATTGTTTCAGATCTGAAACCAGGAAATATCACTGCAGATGGACAATTTCTCGCTCTTCTTCCTGGAGAAAAGGAAGCACTTAAATGTTTCGCAGTTATACAAAAACTAGCAAAGTGGGAATTTCAGTTGCATTTCTTTGCAGCTGGACATGAAAATGCCGGAATTCTAACCGAAATCACGAAAAATATCGTTCTTTCTACAGAATTAGAAATTACAAAGCTCGGAAACCAATCCGTATTCAGTCAATCTTTTGTATTTAGAGACGCAAATCAACCAGTTTCACAATCTATTCATATCAAGTGCGGATCTATCGAAGAAATGATGGAATTCTTATCTACTTTCCATGCTTTTATTACTCTTGCACAAATGAATAAACTTTATCCTGTAGAAAAACCAGTTACAAAAGAAACTCCGAAAATTACAAATCCAGAACCTAAAAAAGAAGAAGAACCAAAAGAAAACACTAAAAATAAATCATCTGAAGAACAAACACAAAAGAAACAAGAAGAAAACACTAAAAATAAATCATCTGAAGAACAAACACAAAAGAAACAAGAAGAAAACACTAAAAATAAATCATCTGAAGAACAAACACAAAAGAAACAAGAAGAAATAATTAAAAATGAAGAAAATCCAAAAGAATTACCTCAAGTTTCATCAGAAAGTTCCGATAATGAATACTATGATTCAGATGAAAGCAGTGATAAACCAAATCAAAATACAAAAGAAAAACAAACAACAAAAGAACAACCAATAAATAACTCAGAAACAGACCAAAAAGTCAAAGTTTTGTATGAGAAACCACAAAATACAAAACAAAATGAACAAAAAGAAGAAATTTCTAAAGATAAAAATGAAATTAAAGAAGAAAAACAAGAAATTTCTGAAAAAGAAAAAGAAGTTCATGTTCCAGAAAACAAACAAGTAAATAACCAAATTTTATCTGAAAACAAAGATAAAAAAGAAGATAAATCGGAAATTAAAATCAAAGAAGAAAAATCTCCTGAAATCAAAGTATTGTATCAAAAACCACATGTTGTTAAAGAAGAAGAACCAATAAAAGTTGTAGAAATCAAAGATAAAAAAGAAGAAAATTCAGAAATTAAGGTTTTGTACGAGAAACCACAAAAACCAAAAGAACCAATAAATAATTCCGAAACAAATGATAACAAACCAGAAAAATCAGAAACAAATGTCAAAAAAACAGAAAAAGAAGAAACAAAGGAAAGCAAACCAGAAATTTCTGGAATAAATGTTAAAAAACCAGAAAAAGAAGAAATAGATGTCAAGAAACCAGAAATCTCTGAAGCCAATGATATCAAACAAGAAATTTCAGAAACAAATGATAACAAAAAAGAAAAATCAGAAACAAATCAAATTTCTGGAGAAGAAATTGTAGAAAACGGTCAAAATGAAGAGAAACAACAAAATGAAATTATTTCTGACAAAAGTGAAGTGACAAAAAGTGAACTTCCTCCAGATTATTATTACATTTCTCCTTTTGAAGGAAAGCCATTTAAATTCAAACCAGAAGAAAACCAACAGATTCAATTCGGTCATATTTATGAGGAAGACCTTGTTCCTGATGCATCAGATGTGAAATATTTAGATTTGAATGAAAAAGTGACATTTTCTCAAAAAATTTCAAAGAAAGAAAATTTCACGGAGAATTTATCATTATTTGTCAAGCCATCAACAGTAGATTTCACTCAATCCGAAATCGAAAACATTTTGTCAAATTCTTTGTCAGAATTTCAAGACGATAACGATCGAATTTCTGACAAATTTACAAAACCGTCATTTGAAGGAATTGGAATCATCAATGAACATAACTTTTCAAAAATGACAAGTAAATTCGAATTTGACACTTCACTTTTGTTTGAAGAGAACAAAATCAACTTCAAACCAACGAAATCTGAAAAACCAAATTGTCCATTTATCGAAGAATTGAGTAGAACAGTCCAATCAATGAGAATTTCAGGATTGTCAGTCCACAGAGAAGAAATTGACAGTTTGAAGTTGACTCCACTTTTGACATCACTATTTCTAAACGACAGAAAAGAAGGAATGTCTTTGGAGTCTATAAAATCAATTCTGCCATCATATGAAAAAGAAATTGATGAATTTTGTAGAAAAAGTGACATAACTTTACAAATATTCAATTTTTGTATTTATGGATTGAATGACAAATTCATTTTACCATTTTTTAGAATAATAAGAAGAAAATGGACATGGATTGATGATAATTACAATGAAAGTAGTTTATTGAAGAATGATAATGTTTTAGAAACAATTATTGATTTGTTAGAACCATTAGTAGTTTATCATACATTTGTTTTGTCTGCATCTATTTCTATTGATGAAGAAATCATCAACAAATACTCTAAGAAAGCGTTTAGTTACAGAACAATGATCGATTTACCGAATGCGAAAGAAAACCATGAAATATTTGTTAAAACAGTTTCGGACTGTTTGTTTGATGGACTTAAAATAGATTTGCTTGATTTCGTTTCAGCTGTTTCTAAAGAATACAAAGACATCGAATTGGAAATAACTGTGAAAAAAGCTAAGAAATTACCTCCAAAACAATACGCAAGAACAATTGTTGGAGATGCATTATCTACAAATAATCTCTTGAAATGGATTTGTATGTTCATTTCTCGTGCTGATAAAAGTACATTTGAGAATGATGCAAATCTATTCGATCCTTACAGATATAATTTGATTCTCAAATCTCTTGTTTTATCATTGAAATAAAAAGAAATTATTTGCCCTAATTTGGATAATAGTCAATTTTTTTTACTTATTATATATAAGATCAGCAAAGAATTGAGTTTATTTAAAATAAAGCAATCGTTTGAGATGTATCTCACTGAGCAATTCGCAAGGCATAGAGGAAAATGGAGTACTTTATAACACAAATGCTAACCTAATTACTGTTATATTGGGCAGTAATATGCTGATATGTTGGGACATCCCTATTCTTTACATTAAGGATGGAGTCTTACTTGCATATACATATTTTCATGAGACAAAATTAACATTACAAGCATTTGTGACAACCAAGCAATTGCAAATGAAGAAATCCATGTAGATAATCTCTTATTTATCTCATCATATTCATTGACAGGTTTTTACCTCTTTACAAAGTTTTTATTCAGGTATCAGTGAGATACCATCCTTAACAACATGATAAGAGCATTTAATTTAAAAAAAATTAGACAAATTGATGACCAAACATCCTTTTAATATGTTTTTGTAATGAAATTATGATTTCTTCCATGAAGAGCCTGATTAGATTCAAAACAAAAATCAATTGACTCAAAATAAAGAATATAGAATGAATATATGAAAGATATCAGATCCAAGAATATATTATTGTTATGTGCAAAGCTAATATTAAAATTTCAAATTAAAAATATAAAAGTAATAGTTATTTATAGAGTTGTATAGTTTATTTATTTAGTTCTAGAACATTTCACATAGGTGGCAAGCTGTAAAAGTTTTGTTATTTCTTAAATTAATTTCCATATTGTTGGATTTTAGCTCTTATTTGCGAAATATCGAATCCGGTAATAGCTGCAAGTTCTTGGATTTGATTTCCTTGACCAGCCTTCAAGAATTTTGTATGAGGAATAGAAAATATTCCATAATGTTGAACTACTTCAACTGCTTCATCAGTGTTGATCTGTAAGAATGTTACTTTCGCAAATTCCATGGCAATCTGTGGAAGAAAGTCTGCGTATCTCTTGCAAGGAGGACACCATTGAGCTCCAAAGACAGCAACAACAAGACCATTTGCGGAACCTACAACAGATGTTAATTCATCATATGTGCCATTGAAGAGAGTTAAATTGGTTGGGTGATCCATTATTTGATTAGAAAAAAAAATTCTTTCAAAAAAATTTTTTTTTGGCACTTGGATCGATGAATGAACACATTGATGTATAGATTATCCTAGCTTTAAAAATCCTTGTTCTTGTAGAGATAATGTTCTTTGCTTCATAATTGATATTGAATTTCAGCAACATATCATGTTATGAGTAGAGATCATACAGAATGTGTCACATACTAAGTTCGATTTATTTGTGCATTTCATAATTAAGAATTTAAATACAATCATTATGATTCAGAACAATTTAGAAAAAATTTAATATTTCATTATGTTTCAAATCGTAATCTGTCTATATAGCTACAATTGCTCCTTGTCTGTTGATCTTATGCATGAAAACTGAGTAATATAGTTTTAGAGGTGTATCAACTAAAAATTGTAAACTGAAAAGCCACTTTTTCGCACTTTTTCCCTCATTTTCGCCTGACATTCTATCGTATTTTTATTTCAATATATAATAACATTATTTAATCTTTAATTAGTTGATAGCCTCCCGCCTGACATTTGACACGGCAAATTAGAAAAGTGCAATATTTTTAGTATGAATGGGAATGTGAACTTTCATAGAGAAACCTTCTTGAAAGAACTTTTTATAGGCAAAGAATGATTTCAGAATCAAACTATGTTTACTAGTCTTTAATAATAGTCCTTGAAATTGAATTTTTGAATTTCAAATTAGTGGATGAATAGTTTTTTCCTTTTATCAGTTCATAACCAGAAATAATTTACAATAATATTCACTTTACACCATATAAGATCCATCACAATTGCTAAAATCTATCATTATAATGTTAAAAGCATTGAGGCTATAATTTTGACATACACTCTTCACAACATGGATTATATAAGTCGAATTTTTCCAAAAAAATAATTACTGAGCAAATTGTATATTTACCATAAATTATCTTGGTCATTTGATTAAGTTTTTGACAATATAGCGCTCAACAGTGCTAATATAGTATTTTGAACTTGTTGAAAATGTTTTTATGCATAAATAAATTTTTATAATTCCAAATTCTAAATAATAAACAATATTTATCTACATAGGGTGCTATTTTGAGAAAATATATTATTATAATCAAACTTTGTAGAATTATTATTGAGTCTATATTAAAAAGTGACTTTTTTTTAATATGACCTCTCAAATTTTTATCACTTTTTCATCAATTAATGAGCGGAGAATATTGGGATTTAGTTTCAACAATTGTAATAGTGCAGCTATAAAATATAGAATATACAGATGCATCTATATGAATTTGGTGCTGTTTTCTTATTTTTCTTAAATAGATCACAATTGATTACAAATATATCCTTAATAAATGAGCAATTGCATTCTATTATATAAAAGAGCAATCTTATTACTTTATTGTCCACTTATGCAGAGCATTACTAGACGTATTTTTTTTATGAATGAATATAGAGATTATAAAATATTGTCTGACAATAGTTTTTCAAAGGGTATTTTGCTATTTTACTTAAATATTAAAAGATACTGTACCAATAATCTTTAAAAACAAATCATTGAAAAAAAATAATAAATAAAAAAAATATTATATAAAATAAATTGCAGACTCTGGTCTATAATGAGGCCACAGATTCGTATTTATCGATTCCAGGGCTGGATTCCTCTCCTGCCGCCAAGAACAAGACGGCAATTGAGAAAAACGGCCCTGAGATTAGGAAGCGAAGCTTTGGCCTCAGCAACAGCCAGATCCTGTATCCGTAGGTGTTTCAGGGCTGAGGAGAGAGGAGACCGTCCTTGATAATGGTGATCTCCCTCAAACTCAGCCCTGAGGATTAACCTTGCAGACTCTGGCATCAAGAAAGGCTAGAGCTTCGTATTTAATGATCCCAAGGGCCGGATTCCGCTGAGAATTGTCCGTGATGTGGAAATTCTCAGAAAACTCGGCCTCTAGGAATGTATTGGAAGCCTTGGCCTCATAAGGATCCAGAGCATGCATGTTCCTTTCTTTCATGGCAGAGTTTTAACTTGGTCGTCCTCATGAGGGACAATCAGGTCGAAACTACACCATGAGGATTGTACTTGCAGGCCATGGCCTCTGCAGAGACCAGAGCTTCGAATTTACTGCTTCCCAGGGCCGGACTTCTCTCCTGCCGCCCTAGATCAGGACGGCATTTGAGAAAGCCGGCCCTGATGATTGTAAGCGAGACTCTGATCCCTGCTGAGGTCAGAGCCTGTGATTTTATGTCTTCCAGGGCCGAGTTCTTGCGAGACGGTCTATCATGTGGACTATCATCGCAAAACTCGGCCCTGAGGATGGTATTTGCAGGCCATGGCCTCTGCAGAGACCAGAGCTTCGAATTTACTGCTTCCCAGGGCCGGACTTCTCTCCTGCCGCCCTAGATCAGGACGGCATTTGAGAAAGCCGGCCATGAGAATTGTATGCGAGGCCCTGGTTCCTGTTGAGGCCAGAACCTTTGTCTATTGGTCTTTCAGGGCCGAGAGGAGAGGGATCGTCAAAAATGCGGACGATCTCCTCAAACTCGGCCCTGAGGATTGTATTTGCAGGCTCTGGTCTCAGAAAAAGGCCAGAACTTCCTATAAACGCTCTCTCGGGACTGGATTCCTCTCCGGCCGCCCCGAATCAGGGCGGTCTTTGAGGAAACCAGCCCCGAGGATTGCTTGCGAAGCTCTGGCATTTTCTGAGGCCAGAGCTTGTGAATTTCATTCAGTGCCAAGTTCCTCTCGGATCGATCCTAATGAGGACGACCTTCGAGGAACTTGGCACTGAGGTGATGAATTATGAACTCTGGCCTTGATGAAGGCCAGAGTTTTGATGCAATATCTTGATGGGATGGGCTTATGCTCAGTAAGCTCATCCCATCAAAACATTCGTTTAAAAATTGAATGAAAAATTATCGTATGTATTGAAATTTTTAAATAATAAACTTGAATAAAATTATCATATATAAAGAATAGAATAAAATAAAGCCGAAATTGAATAAAAATTTCCAAAAAAAGTGAAAATTCGGAAATTCAACCAAAAAATTACAAATTTCAGAGGAAAAATAAAGAATTCAAAAATTTTGTATTTATAAAGTATCAATATTTATGATCAAAATGAGAAATGAGTATTATTTGAGAATTTTATGTTAAATGTGATATTTATAATTTATTAAAATGAAATTATTGATGAAAGGAAGTTGCATTTGCAATGTAATAGAACACTAGCTTACAAATTTAAACTCCTTTCCAAAATAAAATAACTATGTGATATTCTTCATGAAAGGCACGTCATTTTTCAGTTCTTCACACATAAATGCAGGGTACAAGTGATGTACCCTGCACTTATATGTGCACAATTGGAAAAGTATTTGTCACATTTCCATCGAAAGGAAAAGTAAGCCAATTTCCAGATCTGACTACATGGATGCAAGAGCATATAGTAACCCGCTGCAACCATGCACTCAGTCCTGGAATTGAGAATTACACGTTCACATTCAAATAAAAATATGGGAGACATGGTTATATAATGTAGGTAGATGAGGACTGCCTTGAAGTGTAATAAACAGAAATTCATCAAAAGTGACAGCTCTCAATTTTTTGACATTTGTAAATTCTAAATTGAATGAGAAAAATGAAATAATACTAAGCATAATACAATATTCTAGATTTAATTATAATTAGGAAAAAGTTAGTTTTGAGAGTACTTTTCATAGGCATATAGAATGAAATCTTCTGAAAAATAATATCACATAAACTCATATTATTTTCTAATATATAACTATTTTATATAAAAATCAAATTCAATGATCTTAAAAGCGAAGGATAAACCTCAAAATTTGCGAATATAATGAGTGGGAATATAATGCTTATCTATCATAAAACCATATGAAATATCAATTTTTGCTTTACGCCTAATTTTTGACGACAATTAGCAAAAATGTTAAATGTTAACACTCAGTCCATTTGAATATGAAAAATAAAATTGACTTTGATTAAATGTTTTTATTTATCATGCAATTCTTCTTGCGACCAAAGATTTGAATAAAAGTTCAAAAAATAAGATAGCTTAAAAAATAATATACGGTAGTGTTTACTAATAGATGAATAGTATATAAATTCTATTAAAATGGATTTGATCCAAAAAATATATAAAATTTGATCATAAATAAAATCGTTTTAAATTACTTCTTCATTTAAATTATAACAATTATTTTTGGTTTTATATTTTTTGGATCAAATCCATTTTAATAGAATTTATATACTATTCATCTATTAGTAAACACTACCGTATATTATTTTTTAAGCTATCTTATTTTTTGAACTTTTATTCAAATCTTTGGTCGCAAGAAGAATTGCATGATAAATAAAAACATTTAATCAAAGTCAATTTTATTTTTCATATTCAAATGGACTGAGTGTTAACATTTAACATTTTTTGCTAATTGTCGTCAAAATTAGGCGTAAAGCAAAAATTGATATTTCATATGGTTTTATGATAGATAAGCATTATATTCCCACTCATTATATTCGCAAATTTTGAGGTTTATCCTTCGCTTTTAAGATCATTGAATTTGATTTTTATATAAAATAGTTATATATTAGAAAATAATATGAGTTTATGTGATATTATTTTTCAGAAGATTTTGTGTTCTTCTTCAAAATTTTATTTTTTTATTAAAAAGAATCTTTACAAAATATACATTTACTTTAATTAATATTTAAAAACGTGCTCTATCAAAAGTTCCAAAAATTCAATATTTTAGCTTTTCTGAGGTGTCACTTTTGATGAATTTCTGTTTACAACAGTATTTCTAAGTATATCATAATATATATCTAACATCTATCATCAAATCCTATTTTTATCTATTAATCATTTAATAATTTAATTTCAATTGCAAAATATCCGATATCTGACTATATTTACTGAACAATAATCATCAATAACACAATATAACGCATATATAATAATAAAAATATGTGTATTCGATATATTCATTCTAATTCAAATTAGCATCTTGATCAAAACTCAATTATAGTCATTACCATTTTATATATATATTACTCTAATTATATCTAATTTAATTGTTATAGTAAACATTAATATATTGCTAAATGCTTAATATTGATTTTTATATGACTTTAATAGTATGCCCATTGCATAATATGATCATCACAAGAATGAGTTCTGATCATATGTGCAATCCCACATTATATAGACAAATCACATAAAAAAAGATGAAAAAGTGATAATAAATTGAGAGGTCGTATTAAAAAAAAGTCACTTTTTAATATAGACTCATTATTATTCCTTAATATAGGGATATTATTTTCAGGAAATATCAAATATCGATAATCAAAGTTAATACTTATCCTTTTCTATCTATTTATATGCATTATTCAATATATAAACAGGTAGATATTGAAGTATTATATGAAATTTGATCTAATGATCCAGAAAATTATGAGGCAATATATGTGTACAACTGCATTATTAAGGTGCTCTATGGATGAATATTAAATGTTGAAACAAACTTTGCTTAGATATGATGGCTAGAGTTGATGCACTTCTATAGTTTTTGCTGAATGAATAAACTAATTATCGATCATAATGGTGATATTCATCATCCTTTCAGCATGTGTTGACGAAGTCCAAAGTTTTTTTCAAAATATCTTTAAGATTCAAAAAATCAATAAATAAAATTAAGGATTTTGGGTGAATTCTATTTTGAATTGTAGACTTCGGCTATTGGTGTTTTTAATATTTGCACATAGTTTATATGCCTCCAAAATTCTCGAGAAGACACTAAAAATTTTAGGATGTCTGTTTTCGTTCAAGTTCGCGCCAAAGTTACAGTCGACATCCCAGTTTGGAGAATGGGAGGCCTTAAAGATGCCACAAAGCTCATTTTATTAAATAAATTATTAACATACGATGATACTTTGGAAGGTGTTATATTAGGTATTAAAAACACAAACCCAGAATCACCATATTCTAAATTTTATGCAGATACACCCGCTATTCATCAAACTATTGAAGGAGATTTCCTCGTTTTTAGACCAAAGCCTGGATGCATTCTCCCAGCTAAAGTCACATTCGTATCTTCATCATCACTTACACTTACAGTATTAGGATACTTCACAGGAAATGTTGAAACGGCCGAATTAAAGCGTGATTGGACTTTCTCCAAGAATAATTGGAAGAAAGGATCAGATGAATTTGCTGAAGGCGATGAAGTTCAAGTTGAAGTTGTTCGTGCTTCGCCATCTGTCAATGGATTAGACCTTACTGTGAAAGTTCTATCCAAATTAGCTACTGCCGTTCCAGAAAATACAGAAGAATAGAATCTAGAGTAAAATCAAACAAAATAGAAAGTAATTATAAACTATACATTGAAATTAATATTCTATTTTATATTTTATGTCTTACATATATACGTAATCAAGTCCTTTATAACTTGTTGTATCTTTATTTGAATTTTGAAGTAAGATATCTCCATAAGTTAAGAAATTTATAACTTTAACTCTTGGGATTTCGCTCATAATAGATGCAACTCATATTTGAAAACTAAGTTAATGATGACTTCCATACATTTCTGATAATATGAAAAAAAATTAAAAATCTCATAATTTTCAGTAGTATATGTGGAAGGGTTGTGTGACTTTTTTTGTAAACGTAAGAATTCATACAATATCGAGCGATTTTGTATCATTTTTTTTAACATATGAAGTAAATGTATGATTCTTACGGTTTTTATTCTTACGTTTTTGAATAAATCAAGATTTAAAAATTTTTCAAAATTGTAAGACATTTACACTCAGCCCAAACATAATGAAATAAACACATTAAAAAATTAACATTAATTTTAAAATAATTTATTTTTTCATCTTTTATAAAAGAAGCTATATATAGATGATGTCAGATATTCCGCGATTAATTAAACATTGTTTAAATCCTGAATGGAATCAATGGAGTCATAATCAAAGACCTCATAAACGAGTAAAAGAAATTAGAAATAATTATTTTCATGAATGAAAGATTCACTACCATAATGAAATAAAAAATAAAAAAATAAACTTTAAAAATTATGTCTTACATTTTTGAATAATTTATTTTTAATTCGTATGAAATGAGCGTCAAAACTAACAACGTTAAAAAATTAGGATTCACAAACGAGGAAATAAAGGATATATTAGATGAGATGTGTTATGAAGTTAGTAAATATTATTTAAGAAATTGTCAAAAATTTGCCGAGTTATTAAATGATTTAGATTATGATGGAAAAATGAATAAAGATGATGTTATAAATTTCTTATATCCCACATCTGAAGAAGAAAAACCTAAAGAACCTGATGTTTTCCCTGAATATTATGAAGAACGGATTAAAGATGATGATGAATACGATGAAATTGAAATTGAAAGACTGAAAAAAATAAGAGATGAAATAGATGAAAAAATTAAGGAATTAAGAGAAGTTGAAAAATATAATGAAAATGAAGTAGAGGGTTTAATGAATATCCCAGCTTCAGAATCAGAAGTACAGAAATCTCATGAAGAAAGATATAAAAATTATGTCTCAGAATCAACACAAAATTTATTAGATGGCGAAATAGATGAAACACTTTCAGAAGAAGGTACTAAATTTATTCGTAAACATAAGTTACAATTTATTGATAATAAAGAATACCCTTGTATCTTACTTTCACCACCTTTAGATTCCGAAAAATTCAAAAAAGCTCTTAAAAACGTGACTTATGCAACTAATACGATTAAGAAAGAAGATCATGATATTTACACAAATTATTATTTAAATAAATGCACAGGTGTTGATAAAGTTTTTGATTTATTAGATAAAATATCAAAAGAAACCATTGGAACATATAAAATTTTGTGTGATTGTGGTTTCATTATTGAAGATACTAATAATGTTTCATATGAAAGAACAGCACCGAAGGAAGACGAAGTTGAAAGGTCTATACCATTCGTTATTAAGAATATAAAAGATATGAAAACTTATAAACATTATATTTATTCATTTATTTCAGAAAAAATGGAAGCAACCCATAAAACATCATCTCATCATTTATAGCTATTCATACATTCCTTTTCAAAGTTGTGAAATTAAATAAGACAGGAATTAGATTTAATGTATCAGGGTACGCATTCTTGAGTAAATTAAAATGTATTCGTCACGTCGCAGATGATAAAAATTTATGTGTTCTTAATTCATTTTATGGGCTTTAAAAAATAAACTTTATTTTTATTTATTTTTTAATTTTTTATTCTTACATAAATGAACAAAAACGGAACCGCTAAAATGAATGATAATCAAATTAGAGCAGAAGGTAGAAGGTTATTTAAACGCTTCTATAACATTCCTGATGGTGTTAATCCTAAAACTCGTAGAAGTTATTTAAATGAAGCAATAGATTCATATGAAGGGTTTGACATTTCATCAGAAAGTGAGAGATTAGCGAGAATGTTAAATGTTAATATTGATTTCTATTATTGTGATCCTCAACCAGAAGACGTGGACATAAATAAGGTAGACTTTCCATTAGTGGATTCAATAATGATAGATCCAGAATTTGAAACAGTAAATATTTTATTAACACAGAGTCCATGTGGAAAACTTCACGCTGACAGAATAACAGACGTTGAAGCACTCACCGGCTATAAAGTTTGTCCATATTGTAAAGAAGAAGTTTATTCTATCCGTGATGATCCAGAAAGGAAAAACCAAAGAAGATTTTTAAAGCATTGTGAGAAATGTAAAGAAAATAATGGAAGATTAATTCAAGACGTTCAGTTGCAAAAGACACAGCAACCATATGCACCACATATTACGAAACAGAAGATATATCAGTGGTTATTAGCTCATAATTTGCAGGAATATTATCAACCGACAAGATATTATATTACTTTTGACTTCGAAACATTAGAGACTAAAGAAGAATTACAACTTTCTGAGTGTGCAACTTTGAACGCTTACTTAAAACCATTCATGGTATCATCAACGGTTAAATTAAATGATAAAACATATACGAGGAATTTTTGCTTAACTTCGAGTGATTCTTTTATTTCTGATTGGATTGAGTTTTTATTTTCAACCTGTTCATTAGTTGCTAAATCAAATATTGAACAATATGAAGAATTAATGAAGTCGCAAACGGACCAAACGGCGGGGACTTTGTCCCATACATTAAATGAAAAACAGAAGGAAGCATTTAAAGAACTTCTAGATGAGGAATTCAATAAAGTGAATATCATAGGTTTTAATTCGGGAAAGTTTGATTTAAATTTAATTCTTCGTGATTTAAACACTGCAAAATGGAAAATAAAATCAATGCTGAGTTCATCTTCACAATTTAAGCAAATCATTGTAAAGAAAACAAACACTCCATATGAATTGAGATTTATTGACATCAGAAATTATATAGCGGGTGGGACATTAGACCAATTCACTCAAGATTTCGGAAACAATAAATCACGTGTTAAATCCTTTTTCCCTTATCAATTCATCACATGGGAGAATTACGAAGAAGAATTATATAAAGAGGAACCATTCACTCAAGATTCATTTTATTCAGCATTAACCCAAGAAACTATATCAGATAGTGATTATCAAATATATCTCAATGATGCTAAAAACTTTAAGAATAGATTAGAATATTTTATTCATTATTGCAATAAAGATGTTGAAATTATGATTGACCCAATTGATAAAATTATTGAAGAAACATTTGTTTATAAAATTGATATGCTTCATAATCTTTCTTTATCATCGAATGCTTCAATGATTCGTTACGCTTTAGCATATAAAGACTTTAATCCTAATGAAAAATATCCTGAGGAAGAGATAGAATCAAGTTTTGAATTAACGAAAAAGTATTGGAAATATAAAATTGAATCATATAAGAAACAAGATGAAAAAGCAGAAAGGGATACTAAAAATAATGTTTCAATGGATGATTTTCAATACTATCACGATTTAATCCTTTCATCTAAATGCAAAATGTGTGGTAAAGCGTTTACATATGCAAATAAACCAACATTAGATAGAATCGATAATGAAAAACCACATACCAAAGAAAATTGTCAGTTAATGTGTTGTTATTGCAATGTCGTAAAATCAAATAAAGATGAAGATGTTCAACGTTTAAGAATCAATTTAAGAAATTATGCATTAAAAAATAATTTACCAATGACTTTAGATTCAGTTGAAGCTTATCACATTCTCCGTAATGGAATTACTGGTGGTTTATCAAATGTTCAACATAGAGTAAATCTTAAAGGAATCACGCACATTAATAAACTTGCATATAATCCAGAAACTAAAACTGTATCAAATGAGGACACTTCCAACATCATGACTCATTTCGTTGGTGTTGATTTTAATTCATTATATCCTTCATCATTTTCATCTAATCCTCATGATTTCATTCAATATACTGACCATAAAATGTATATGCCGGGAAGATTGAATGGTGTTATCATTTGTGATACAGCAACAAAGAAAGCAAAAGCACTGGGAATAATTAAGAAGAAAAATACTTTATTCGTGGCTGAAGTAAAGGGTCACATTGATGAAAAATACATTAATGATTACATAAACTTTTTACCGATAATAAGAAACTTAGATATTATCACAGATGAAAAAACAATTGGCAGTTTTATGTATAATTACATGAAATCAAACAATTTACCAGTTGACCAGAAACAGAGGAAATTAACTCAGTTAGCATCAACACACAACCAATATCAACCATTTTCTTCTTATTATCTATGGTATCTAATCGACAGGTTTAATTTTATCATTGATGATATTCAATCAATTTTAACATTTACGAAAAATACTTGTTTTAATGAATTTGCGAACAAATTTATGAACGAAAGACAAAAGGCTGAATTAGAAGGAAATAAAGGAAAAAGTTTATTTTGCAAATTTCACTTAATGGATCATATGGTTACGATGCAATGAATACACAAAATTACGCAAAGACTAAAATAATGAATGCACAGAGGGCACGCGTTGCATGTATGTCAAATAAGTTTAAAAACATAAGAGAAATAGGTGAAGATACATATCAAGTGATGCTCAAAGATAGATTTTATAGATGTGATACATGTTTACAAGAGGCATTCTTCACTTTAGATAACGCAAAATACTGGTATTTGGTTTTCATTTATGATTTTATGTATAAATGCATGAATGTTAATCGTTTTCATTTCATTGAAGGTGATACTGATTCATCTTATTGGGCTATTGCTGGCGATCCAAGTCTTCCTAACACTCAAGCATTTCAGGCGATTGTAACTGATAAACAATTTTATGATAAAAACATTTTCAAATTCGCACCTTTTGATTTCTTTTGTTTTGATGAGAAATTTAAACCTAAATTAAAGAATAAAGCTGAAGAAAAAGCACATGAGAAAAAATTATTGGGTTTAGCAATTGAGAAACAAGGTGATAACATGGTTGCTTTATGCCCCAAGTGTTATACATCATTCAACGGTTCAATTGATGGGGGTGATTTTAAAAAGATTGCACAAAAAATGAAAGGTGTTAGTTTACGACAAAATAAGCAATTAACACCTAAAAAATATTTGGATATAATAAATGATAAAGTGATATTTGATGGTCAGAATATTAATTTACAACTTAAAAATGGGTCAATGACTCGCTTAACAATCGGTAAGACTGCATTAACAGGAGCACACACTAAGGCTGTATGTTGTGAAAATGGATGTTGTATGCCATTTATTTAATACAATTTTGAAAATTTTATTTTTAATGAAATGCCACAGAAGAGACAAAAGGAACCGTTAATGATGGTTTTGATACTATGATTCAAAGAGGTGGGCACCCTTAAACATTTATTTTATTTTTATATAAATGGATAACACAGATTTAAAAATTTTAATTGATGATTTAGTACTTAATCAAAATTTTCTTAATTATTATGAATTAAAATCATATCTCCAAAAACATAATAATTATATAACGGGTGATGATATGGAATATTATTATCCATATTATAAAAATGAAATTTTGAAATATCATGATAAAATAATTTCTAAAATTAAAGACAAAATTAAAAATAATGAATATACAAAGGAAAAAACTAAATCACAACTTAAACAATTGAAAGATTTCAAAAATAAAGTATTAACAGAAGAAGATATTGATGAATTATATAATTTATATAATCCTGAGCCACAAAAACCAAAGCCGAGGTCTAAAGTAGCAAATGTTCAACAGCTAAAGGTGCAAAACGCCCAGGTCCTTCAGACCATAAATGATGCACAAGCTTTAATTTATGATTCATTAGTTAAACCATATTCAGCCCGACTTTTAAATGAAGATCAACTTTTGGAATTCATCCTTCAACATAAACTCGAAGCGGGAAAGTATATCAAACCTTTATATACAGCATATTTAAAACAAATGAATAGAATACATCCAGAATTAATGAAGGGGGAATGAATTCCAAAATCAAAGCGGATAAAATTAAACCACTTGCAACACCAAAACCTCCAACGACAGTACCGCCTCCTCCTTCAGTTAATCCTTCATCATTCACTTTATTATATCCATTTCAAACATTAAAGAAACAAAAAGATTTTAAAAAGGGTTTCAAGATATTAAATAAACCAACTGACCCGAAAATTCAACCGTTAAAGGAAAAATTTAGTCGCCCTTCATTTGCACCATATCCATATTCATACGAAATCGATCATCTGGAATATTCAAAAGGAAAAGTTACTTATTTATTTGCCATTAACATTAACACTAGATATTTATATTGCATTCCAGTGAAAGGGAAAACAGAACAGGAAACAAGAAGAGCTATTCAATACTTACTAGATCATGAAAGAGTAGATAATATAAGGGGTGATGGTGATAAAGGATTTCAGGCAACTATGACTCATTATTTCCCACAAATTAATTTTTTCTTTTCATCCTCTCCATATACGTTTCATAATAAAATAGTTGATGCGGTAATGAGAACTCTTAGAGATGCGTTAGGGGTTAACAGTCAGATATACTGGGATGGAAATCATGACTCCATCATACATCAGTTAGTATATTATTATAATAATACATGGCATAGAACTATAAACATGAAACCAGTGGAAATGAAAAATGATATTTCAAAAGAATGGGAATATATTAGAAAGCAAATGGAAAGGTTGAATGATGTTAAACGTGAACAAATTAATTCGGGGCTCATGAATTTTAAACAAGGGGATAAAGTTTTGATTCATCTCGATTATGGAAAAACTAATAAATCAATGACAAAAAGAAGACGAAGATTTGACACAATAGCTGAATTTGTTAGATATATTAACGGTAATGCATTAGTTGAAGTTGACAATAAATTAATAGAAATTCCGATTTATTTTATTACTCCATTATATTTAAATAATATTTAATTTTTTTATTTCGTAAGAAATGAGTGACAACAAAGCAGCCAAGAGTCCAGACAATGAATATAAAAGAAACTAAACAGAATTAAATCAAAAATATGCTATTACAAAAAGAAGTCGCAATGCGGTGGGGTTGATGCCCATAAAACTAAAGTAATTGAAAACGATAAAGAGAAGAAGGAAATAATCGAAAAGTTAGAAACTTACCGTTCAATCCTTAAACTGAGTGAAGCAAAAATAAAAGAATTTAATAGAATAAATAAATTGATTGGAAGAGATGAATTTAATAAAGATGAATTTTTAAACTCAATCCAAATTTAATTTTTATTTTTCTTTGACAACATCTCTCTTTCCATCATTACTGCATAACCGCATTTTCTCAGTTTTAGTGGTTTGTTATTTTTAGCAAGTTCTCGCATCATTTTTATCGTTTCCTCCTTGTTATGATTCGTGGTAAATTTTGAGCTTGTGGGGTATCCATTTATATAAAAATAAAAATTTAAATTATGCCGTTCTAAAGTTTGTGACAACATGACATTTTGACAACACAGTGGGACGAAAGGAGGAAGGCATTTATGAATTATTTTTGAAGAACTGAAGGTGCTACCATGTTACCATGTGCTACCAGGTTAATTAACTTCTCTGAAAAAATGAGACAACATGACATTTTGACAACAGTTCAGGAAATAAACTTCATCGTATATGCTTTGTCATGATTTCATCGTATATGCTTTGTCATGATTTCATCGTATATGCTTTGTCATGATTTCATCGTATATGCTTTGTCATGACTTCATCGTAAATGTTTTGTGAAGAATATAGCAACCGCCGGAATTCAGACGGTTGTTTTTTTATACAAAATTCACGCGGGATTCATGAGGAAGGCATTTATGAATTATTTTTGAAGAACTGAAGGTGCTACCATGTTACCATGTGCTACCAGGTTAATGAACTTCTCTGAAAAAATGAGACAACATGACATTTTGACAACACAGCAGGATTAATGCAAAAATAAATTCCAATCATACTTTATAAAGCATCATTTACAGGTATTTCATCGTCAGTAAATGAATCCTCATTATCGTTTGGTTCAACCTGTTTATATAATCCTTTCATTTCTTCTTTCAAAACATAACACCATGTTTGTTTATCATCTATTCTTCTATGTTTCCTATCACATTTATCCTTAATGCTCATTTGGAAATTCTTGTCTTTATATTCCGGATAAAAAAATATTTTATAAAAAACTAACTTTATTTTCTGACTAATGAAATTCATTATTTTTGTTGCTGAATTTAATAAAAATATATTTTAGGTGAAGAGGTGAGATTTCACCTGTTTTCTCACCTAATTTTTCACCCCAGTTATTTTATAAGCGTTTTACATGAATTGTACGATGTATATTTGAAATTCTAAACAATTTCGTAGCTTCTATTTCTTCTGTCAGTATGTCAAAAGTTTTAACAATGCCGAAAGTTTCTTTATACTTCTTCTTGACGTCAGATAGAAGGAAATCGTCAGCTGTTGGATAGTTTTTGTTCAGAAATGCTAACATGTCCATTTTATCTTCTGCTGGCTTTTCTGCTTCTTTCTTTAAGTCAGCATAGTCGTTTCTCATACGTTCTATCTCTTTGACGGAGTAGTTATATTTCCTCATTGCTGCTTTACATTTTGAACATTGCGGATTCATTTTTGCGTTATACATTGAAATTTGACCTGCTAGAACAACTAAGGCGTCAATGGTTTTCTTTAACTCAAAAGTTGTTGGTTTTATTTGTCCATTCCATATTTTACATCTTTTATCTTTATCTCTTATCTGCCATACACATTCAGCAACTAATGAAACAAAGTTGTCGTATGTCTTAAACTCCCCAGATTTATATATGTCAGAGATGTTCTTATATACCATGTCGCAATCTTTGTTCATAACTTTATGGTTGCAATGAAAACCAAGGAATTCATAGTTTACTTTACGTATGAACTTCTTTATTTCTACTGAATCAGTTGGTTTCACTTCTATTTCATCGAATTCAGGAATAGTTAGTTTTTGCTGCTGAACTTCCGGTAATTTGGGTAAATGGTCAATAATGTCCTGCATGTCATAAAGATACTGTTCATTTGTTTCATCTTTCGCACTACAGTCTAAATTACTTGTTAAAATTTCTTGCTTAATTCTTTGTATTTCTGTCTCAAAAGTATATGAAGAAGGAATAAAGCTTTTCATCTCTACCAACATTGACGTAGGATTCATGACTAGCGAGTTTGGTGCTGTAGTTGTTTGAATTGTTGTTGTGCCGATTGTTGAAATCATATCTTTTATACAAAATAAAAAATAAATAAAAATAAAACTAACTTTATTTTTTATATCTTAAGGAAATTCATGAAAATTCACGAGAAAGCAAAAGCAATCTGAGCCGCTAAGCGGTGAGGGTGAAAAAGGAGGTGAAATCTCACCTCTTCACCTAAAATATATTTTTGTCTGATTTACACTCATTACGATGAAGTCATGACAAATCATTTCCTGTGTTGTTGTCTAAATGTCATGTTGTCACTCTTTTTAAGAGAAGTTAATTAACCTGGTAGCACATGGTAACATGGTAGCACCTTCAGTTCTTCAAAAATAATTAATTATTGAATAACCTGAAAACATTTACGAAAACATTAACGTAAACATGAGACTTTGTCTCCGGACTCTTTGAGTCACTTAACGATAAAATATATTTTTGGTCATGGGCTATGCCCCGCCACGTTGCGTCTTTATGACAAAAATAAATGGTTCATTTACTCACAATATTTTTGTACAAAACGACCCCAAGCTTTTAACTTCTTTTCTGCAGCTTCTAATGCTATCTTAGCGAGTTCATATTCTCTAAATTCTCTCTTTAAATCTTCTTGTTCCCATTGGTCTAGTTCGAATGGAGAATCTCTATAACCATAACATAACTCACGTTCATGTTCTAATTGTTTTTCGCGCATTTTTCTAACTTCTTGTTCGAACAAAGGTTTAGCATTCTCTACTGTATCTTCAAGTTCTTCTTCATCTAATTTCTCATGAACTTTCTTGTCTATGGAGTCCATAATATCTTTGACATAAAATGCATACTTTACAGAGCACCATTCAGCAACAAAATGAACGAGGTTAGGATGTATGTAAATACCTTTGAATTCATTTATAACACCCTTTGTAAGCTCATAAAATGCTTGTTTTAAGGTCGAGCCACTTTTGGCTCCACCGTATTCGTTCATCCAAAACTCAAGAATTTCCTGCATTTTAGCACTATTGAGAAATCTGTTTAAATGGTTTAACTTTCCTGCTTCTCTTGCCATCTTTGTTGCATTAATGTAACCATCCTTGTCTCTACGTAAGACTTCAATACCGTTATAAGTGCCTTTTGTGAATGTTTCACCATTAGATTTGTTTGCGAATGTTTTTGCTTCGACCGACATTACTGTTCTTACATACAAAATAAAAAATAAATAAAAATAATTTTAAAACTAACTTTATTTTTGTACTGCATCAAATTTTCATTAATGTTGTCAAAATGTCATGTTGTCACTCTTTTTAAGAGAAGTTAATTAACCTGGTAGCACATGGTAACATGGTAGCACCTTCAGTTCTTCAAAAATAATTAATTATTGAATAACCTAAAAACATGAGACTTTGTCTCCGGACTCTTTGAGTCACTTAACGTAAACATTTATTTCTGCAGTTCATTCATTACTTCATTACCTAATTAATTACAGACATAAAATATATTTAGTTCATTCGGTAAGCCTGCAAAGTAGGCTCAAGTGTGTTTATTGAACTCGGTACCATGCGAATACAGTCACAAATGGTGGCATATAATCTTTACCCAAGCCTGTTGGATTTGTTGTGAAAGTATGGACATGATTTCCTCCTGGTTCAGTTGGTCGAAAAGTCTTTTTTGCTGAATGGTTATAATCTGGAGATAAAACATCATAGCCAGCTTTATAGTCTGAGTTGTATAATGGGTGGTCTCTTAATGAGTGGCTATGGTCGCCAGAAAAGTTTGTAGTTCCTGTATGAGTGTGTGG